TTAGCTTCCCGAGGAAGTGACGGTACAGTAATGTAGAGACTTGGTGGTACTTTATAGCAATTCTACACTAAAAGAGGAAGAGAATGACAAGAAACACTCAGTCTTTTAGAGACTTGAGTTAGAAAAAACAGAAGTGACAAAGAAATAAAAGAAACCATAAAATATCGTCAGTATTTTTTTGCAATTTGCAAAAATTTGGGAAATTGGCCTTGACCCTAAATTGCAGATCTGTTTTGGTAATACAAGAATCACAACACATAATGAAAAATAAACAAAAAAAACATGACAAAAGCCATGTGACAAATTCAAACAAAAACAACAAACAAATATAACAATCAACAACAACAAATAACAATGATAGAAAAACAACAAGTCACATGGATATACTAGTAATAGAAAATTCTAGAATATATAGACAAAGCCAAAAAAAGCTGAAGCAATAGCAGAAGTATATGTTAATAAGACTGAAGAATATAATATAGAGTTCATCACAGAACAACTTAAAGCAGAATTTGCTAAAACAAAATTAATTACAGAAGAAAAAGCAAGAGCGCAAATAAGAGCACTACACAAAGAATGATAGCAATATGATAAAGATATTAATCAGTATACAGGACTCGAACTTAAAACAAGAGACAAGGTTGGTTTTTTAGAAGCAATAGAAAAGGGAGAAGACCTAGTTGAATATATTATACGTAGAGAAATAAAAGACATTATAGCAGAACTAAGAAAAGCTAATACGATAAGAGAGGTAGAAAAGATTGAAAAGAAACAGGTTGCCAAAATTAAAGAGTTGGAAAAGAAGCAAGTTGCCAAGATAAAGTCAAAAATTAAATCTGGCTAGAGCAAGAGACTCAAAGAGCAAAGAAGAAATTGACAAAAGCGGCATAACAAGATAGTTCTAAACTTATTAGCGCAACAATTTAATTAATCAGTCCAATTTGTCGCAGAAAACCAATGCAAAGAAAAGGAAAGAGTCAAAGAGAAAAAGATAAAATTGCAAATCCGAAAAAGAGCCAAAATGGCAGAAAGAATTTTGTACAAGAAAGAAAAACAAGCTGTTAGCAGTATAAAAACAAAAATAGAACTAGTTTAGCACAAGAGACTAGATAAACAGAAGAAAAAAAAACAAAAACAACAAAACAAAACAGCTCTCAAGTCATTAATACAGCACTTTTCAGTAACCATCAGAGTATTCGAAATAGAGCAATTTTTAGAAAAAGAAACAATTAAGATAGAAGAATGGTGATCACAATCCCAGCAAAAAGAAGTCTCGAAGCATTGTCAACAAAAAACTAACAAAGGAAAGAAACATCAGAGCAAAAAATCAAGAGTCAAAATAAAGAAGGCCAAATAGAAAAAAAAGCTTTGAATAAGATTACAGAAGAATCAAAACTAATAATATCAAGAACAGCTATATTAGAAAAAGAAAAGGTAGAAGATATACAAACCAAGAATATACAGAGAGATATAATAGACTAGACAATAGAAGCTTTGTATTTGTCAAGTGGGAAAGATACCCAGATTAATAGTAAAAATTGAAAAAAGAAGAAAAAAGACTTGCTAGCAGATTGGATTTAACAGACCAAATCTTATATAGCGAAAAGCACAGTTAGAAAAGACAAAATCAAAGTTATTATAGCAGAAAGAATAACAAAAGTTATGAATCAGAGAAGAAAAAAGAAGGACATACTTTTGGATATAACAGAAGGAATATTATTAAAAGTGTTAGAAGATCAAGAAGCCTATATCGAATTACAAGAGAAGTTCTTTGGAAAGAAGCTACACCCAAAAAGAAGAAGAGAAAGAAAAGATACTCAGCTTAGCAGAAGAAAGAAAGAAGACTTGAACGAAGTGAATTTGCGACAACTACTAGAGAAGTAAAAAGAGCTTCAGAGAATACTAAAAAAGAGAAGACCCTTGTAAAGACCTCTGAACAGAAGAAAAGATCTAATAATAGAGCTTCGGAACAGAAGGAAAAAAGCAAAGAGAAGAACCTGAGAAGATTTTTAAAAGCCAGGTCTCTGATCAAGAAGAACCAAATGAATTAAAAGAAATGAAAATAGAAGCGAAGATACAAGAATATTCGAAAAAATATCGGCAATAACCCTTCAGGAGAAAAAGATATAGTTTTGGTTATTAATAGAAAGATTAAGTTAGATTACTGTTGTAGAAAGGAGGATAGTTTAGAAGGAAAAAATTGCCAATTTAGTATAGATAAAATTTCTTTTAATTTGAAACTATTTCATTATAGTTTCACTGGCTAGCTTGGTGCAGCCCTCTGATACAGGCAATTGCCTTAACCGGTAAGGCAGACTGTACTTGGGCACCCATAGAGGAAACCGAGTAATGTCGGATCTGTAACTTAGATAGTTTAGGATATAGTTATATTTGCTTTGATCTAATAAAGATACTAGTGAGGCTGCCAATATGTTCAAAAAAAAAATAAATAAAAATAAAAATAATAATAAAGAAAAAGGATTAGTAAAAACACAAAATAAAAAATTTTGAAAATTAATTTTTCAAAAAATTGTAAGGTCAGAAGATCATGTGACTGCACCCTTAATTGGTGGTAATATTGAAACTTTTGTATATAACCACATATCATATATATCACAAATCAGGGTTAGATCTAGTAAATGATTTGAATAGCTGAGATATACAGTATATACTGTTCTATACTGTATCTTAAAAAAATATGTATAACTAAATTTTTATTTTAAAAAAAATATAGAATGTTCTATAGAATAAGTAGGCAAACTTTGCAAACTCCACAACACTGATATTAAAAAATTAATGATTATTAATTTTTAGTAAAGCTAATTTCTTATATTGCTCACCTATTCTATAGAATATCCAAAATGTAATTACACAAGCTTTTTTTAATAAAAGGTTTTTAAATAACTTTAAAAATTAATTTTTCAATAATTATCTTATTAAATTAACTCAATTTTTTTTTGTTAATACTATAAAAATACTTGAAATTAATAGATTAATTTTTTAAAATTTTTAATTTTTTATTAAGGGTTTTATTTTTTTATCGCCATAGCAATGTACCACTAGCCCTGAGACTTAGTTGTCGTGTCGCATGATGTCTGGGTTTCAATATTCAAATTCCACTTATGATTAGTAATCTAGATAACATATAGATTACTAATCATAAGCGGGGTTTGAATTTTGAAATCCCGATATCACTTAATGCGACAATTAAGTTTCGGGATTTGATTTTCGGGATTTTGATTTGACTTAAACCCGGGATAGCAATACATCGCTATAGCGATAAATTATAAAGCCCTAAATTTAATTAACCTTTAATTTTAATTAAAAAAAATATTAAAAATATTAATAAATTTTAGCTTTATCTAACTTTCGTTATAGTAATTAAAACATTATAAAAAAAATTCAAGATTTATATTTATAAAGTACTATTTATAATAAAAGTTTTAAAACTGTAGCTTTTTAATTTAAAAAGTTAAAAGGGTGGGGATACTTATGATTTTGACTGTAAGAATATACATTTATAGGAAGCAGGATCGATACGAAGAGTTAAGTTTGAACTAAACTATATTGCATTTAGTGAATTTGTAGTGCATTTATAGATGTTGGTGTTACTGTTTTATCTTTTTGGGCCATTTGCACTAATATTTGTAATCATATGACATGCAGCTTGTGCATAACACAAAGTCGGCGTCGAGTAAAAATCTTACCAATTTACTTGCTTTTTTTTATATCTGGAAAAAAGGAAAAATGCCATTACCTGATGATATAATTTATGATATTTTACCACATCTCCATGATGATATGCGAACTTTGTACCGATGTCTTTTAGTAAATCGTCTTTGGTGTCGAATAACGGTTCCAATTTTGTGGCGTCGGCCGTTTACAATTTCATCTAAACCTTTTACAAATAAGCATCGCACCAGTCGTACTCTTATAATACAGACCTATGTCTCATGCCTTAACCAAGATGAACTTGCATATTTGATCCCTTACAAAATAGATTTTCTTGACATCCAATCGACATTGTTTCCTTATGAAAAATACCTTCAAGAGCTTTCCGATAATGCCATAGACAAAGGTGTAAAAGGGTGGTTTCAAGTAAAGAAACTTATCTTTCCTTTCGTCGAGTATGATCACAGGGCTGAGGCTATTACATACGCACTCTGGCGCATGTTCATGCGTCAATGTGTGAAAATACAGTCAGTATCTATCATGCCTTTGTATGTTCGATCTGGTATATCGAATGTACCAAATTTTTCAGACGCAATGTCTGCTTTGTCCCATGTGCGAAGTTTCACGTGTCGCATTGATTGGAGTGACAGTTCTGAGAAGTATCAAAAAACCATACAGTTATTACAGAGATTAAAATCAGTTTGTAAAAAAATCACA